GGAGGGAGAGAGAGAGAGAGAAATACAAACACATGATTTTCCTGCAAAACTGCATGGCAACGTACGTTTTCTACGGGTTATGAATTTTATGTCTTTTAATGTAGCTCAAAATAACAGAATATATCTTTAGAGTTATTGATCTCTACCTGTTATCCCTTATAATCAAAATTGTCCAAAGCTACTTTGCATATTTATTTGTGGGGTCGTGTGGCGCAGTCGGTAGCGCGTTCGGCTCACACCCCAGAGGTTGTGGGTTCGAACCCTGCCCATGTCACCGATCTTGTGCCCTTGGGAAAGGCACTTTACACGACTTTCCTCACTTCACTCAGGTGAAAATGAGTACCTAGCTTCGGTTAGGGACGTCCCTCGGATAGGACGTTAAATGGAGGTCCCGTGTTTGGGAGAGCCACACCCCATGCACGTTAAAGAACCCACCGCACTTATCGAAAAGAGTAGGGGATCTTCCCGGTGTGAGTGGTTCAAAACTTACAGTCCGGTCTTACGCAGCTTGTACATGTGCGCACATGTACAAAACTGGTGTGTTACGCCTGAAGGCGGTTTACCGGTTATGCGAAACAAACAAACAAACAAACAAAACCCTAAACAGTACACCTGGGGTCCGCGCGGACCCCAGCACTATATATTCTGTAATATCTTTTTTGTTTCTAAAGATTTTTTTCTGAAATTTTAGGTAATTGTCACCCACAAAGTTGTCTCTCAATACAGTGCAGAAAACTCCGTTTCTACCATTTATAAAAAAAAGAATTATATCTGATTTTCTTTTGGGGTGCGCGCGGACCCCAGCCGGCTTTCGATCATAATGGATACACTGGCGTTCTTATACATTACCTTATTTCCGTTTTTATATGTTTTTATGCACTCATCGTATGTCTACCAAGTTTTCAGAGAATGGTGTAGTAATAGAATTAAATTTTAATAACTTTGGTGTAATTATGACGTCATATGACGTCAGAGCTAATAATTTAGTCCGCCATATTGGTTTTTGACCAATGACGTCATCAAATTAGCATATTCTATGCATATTAAATGATTTAACTTATATTTGATTATGTAAGATGTTATTAATGTTGAAAAAGAAGTGTAATTTAATATAAAACTCTAAAAAAATTTATGTTTAAACCAAAATTACTTCTTTTAAAAAAAAAACGCCTGCTAGAAACCCGTTGCCATGGCAACACAAAAAAAAACATCAACTTACTAGTATCAAACTAATATGAACTTTTTTCCAGAGACATTTTAGGAAAGGTCTCCAAATTTGATACTTCTAGCGCAGGCCGTTTAGCCGCTATCTGAGATCAAAGTTGGGCCTCAAAAGCCCCTTCAGTCTGAAATGGGTTTAAAAATCGGGTATTTCTTCTTGTCTTCTTTTCTTTACCAAAAAATAGAAAAAGTTCAAAATGTATGATTTTCCTATGTAATGTGGACACAGAGGTTCCCACATCAGTTTGCAAAACAATTGAGCTGGTAGCATGTTGATAATTTCTAAAAATTAGCAAAAAACTGTTCTGGGGTCCGCGCGGACCCCAGGTGTATAGATTAATCAGTCCTGGAAGGTGTTCTGTTGAGGGTTAATTTTGCTGGCATCTTAACAAAAATTACAAAAATGGCTGTTTCGTATGTTCTTTCTTTTCCACATTATAGCCCCCACACACACCCACACATGGGGTCTGCTCCTATTGCGTAGGATATCGCGATCATATCGCGGTGTTGTTACCGCCTGCTATCCGTGAAATAAAGTCTAATATTTCTAAAGTCAAGTAGTGGTAAAATTGAATTCAAGCTACCTTTATCCTATGTGTGTTAGGTGCTACAGTAAGTAGAAATGTGTACAGTTTTGTTGTGTAACCCGTAACCTTGGGGTGGGCTTCAGACCTTGTTACGTGGTCACCCAGCCTGACCAATGAGTAAAAAATAAAAATAAACAAAACATCTTTACCTGGGATGACTCCCAAAGCCACACTGTGTTGTCCCATTCACTTCAGCACTTATTGGAGTCAAGTCTACCGCCTTTTTGTGGACAGAAATTTGGCAAATTTTTTAATCCCACACTGCTTTCTACACAGCAAGTTTTCAGTCCAGTGCCCTGCTTTACTGAATGCACATGACCCTTTCAGGAACTGGTCTAACAACTTCTAAAGTGTTTTTGACATGCCCCCTAGCGGAATGACTAGATGTTTTCAAGGTTATCTTCTATTCATCGTAATGATCCTGTTGACGTTTAACAGCTTGCTTTTCACTTTGTTTTGAGGTGTTGGGGCATTACTATGCTCAACATTAATTAGATTACTGTGGGTCGAATCTGACAACAAATACAGAATGAAGTTTTTGTATTCTTTTTAACATGGAACATGTAGTCTGTAACGTTACAGCATCAGTATAGCGTTACCACTATAACGTTTCAAACCACATATTCCAACAAATTCATTCTCTATTTGTTGTCAGATTCAACCCATAGTAATTTAGATACTTTGAGGCTCAGCATAAAATGCCACAACACACCTCAAAACACACTGAAAAACAAGCTGTTCAACAGAATCATTCCAATGCTTTCCTGTCCTATGCAAATGAGGCTTAGACCCCTGTTTTCGCAATGCATTCTGGGGATGGGAAACTCGTGAATAAAAAGAGCCCTCCTCGTATTCTTGCAGAGGCTTCAGTTTAATGATAGGGTTTAGCTGTCAGGCCAATGACATTATACAATGTCCTTGTTGAGACAAATCACTGCTGAAATTATATTTTTGTTCTCCTTCTATCACCCCGAGGCATGTCCCGGCTGAAGTGACTGGGACAGATCTAGCTAGTTCCAGTGATCTCATACCTTCCTCCGATTATGTCTGCTGTTTCTAAAGTCCAGTAGTGATAAAATTGAAGTTACTATGTGTTTTAAGTGCAACAGTAAGTAGAAATGTGTACAGTTTTGTTGTGTAACCTTTAACCATGGGGTGGGCTTCAGACCTTGTTACGTGGTAACCCAGCCTGACCAATGACTATGAAAATAAAAAAATAAAAAATAAACAAAAATATCTTTACCTGAGATGAATCCCAAAGCCACACTGTGTTGTCCCATTCACTTCAGCACTTATTGGAGTCAAGTCTACCACCTTTTTGTGGATAGAAATTTGGCATTTTTTTAAATACCACATTGCCTTTTCTACACAGCAAGTTTTCAGTCCAGTGCCCTGCTTCGCTGAATGCACATGACCCTTTCAGGAACTGGTCTAACAACTTCTAAAATGTTTTCGACATGCCCCCTAGCGGCCTGACTAGATGTTTTCATGGAACATGTGGTTTGTAACGTTACAGCATCAGTATAGCGTTACCACTATGACGTTTCAAACCACATATTCCAAAAAATTCATTCTCTATTTGTTGTCAGATTCAACCCATAGTAATTTAGATACTTTGAGGCTCAGCATAAAATGCCACAACACACCTCAAAACACACTGAAAAACAAGCTGTTTAACGTCAACAGAATCATTCCAATGCTTTCCTGTCCTATGCAAATGATGCTTGGACCCCTGTTTTTGCAATGCATTCTGGGGATGGGAAACTCGTGAATAAAAAGAGCCTTCCT